AAGAGCTAGAAGATTTGTTGGAAAAAGCATACTCATGGTCCACCGAGAACATGCCACAGTTCGATGCAGTTAAATGCAAAATTCTGAGCATACGCCATCAGAATGCTCACAACTACTCTCAAGGGCCACAAATCATACAGTGTGTTTCTCATGAATAGGATATTGGCGTCTCCCTATTGCAAAATGAGCTTAGGTTCTTGAAACAGAATCGAAAGACGTCAAAGAAAGCAAATTAACACTTTCACCTCATTAGTAGAGCGTTTGCGCATTTCGAGAGTGTTTGTCGCGTATGTGTGGCCACATGTGGATTACGCGATAAAAGCGTGGCAACCCTGGTAGAAGCACCACCTCGCTCTCGACACCGCACAACGCGGGGCGATGAAGAACGTTAGAAGTTTGCTCTGCCTACCGTGCAGAACCAGGCTGAAATCTATTATACTTTACTACTACTATACTATACTATACGTTATATGCATATACGGAAAAACCTCATAATGGTGTATCAGAATCATAAGCACACGCGCCTCTTTCTTTTGAAATTTAGTCAAAACACATATCCGGAAGGTGATGATTTTAGGCTAATCACGCAGTACAGCTGACTAGACGGTCGACGAATCGATTTTTCCCTCTGTGTCTCAGAATTGGAACGCCCCTCGTTATATTTACTTATTGCTCTCACATCATCCTTGTTCATCAATCGCCTTCAGGATACCCTCACACATTTACTCATGCCCATTACATGATGTCATTATTGCAGTGCAATAACCATCCTAAATTCCAGGAAGGAATAATGCATACGTGCTACTACGAAGTACTTGTTGAGTGTTTAGCTCAGGCGTATTTTAATTTACACTACGTTTCATTTTGTAACTTTCTCCAAATGCATCCTACAGGATATGCCAAGCATTTGTTTTAATCCCTTTCAAAAATCATTTCTCCGTTGGTCCATTATATCGACATATAATGTAATGTGTCGAAAGCTGAACGACCAATAAAGCACTACCCATTCGAGGTTGGCTAGATTAAGCATAGTTATGTGTGAACATGCGCGTAAGTTCACTAAAACCTGTTTCGGTTTGGCACTACGTGTCCTTTACACCATTTTTAGTTCCCATTATGGCCTTCCTACGGGCATTGTAAGGCTTTGGTTTTTTTACCCTTAATACCCCATTGTTCCATGGTAGTCGAGTCCCAGAGCAATTCAGGTGGTCGAACCAGTATAGTCGAAACATATATAGCATTTACAAAGAAATGAAACATAAATTGGCGACTGGATAATTGCGACTGGAAAAGCCCAGTGACAAGCTCATGAAAAACAATAAAGCTTATACAAAGGATGTTCAAATAGGAACCGAACTTTAGAAATGGCGAGCCAACCGGCCGAGAGAGAGGGTGTTGCCGCTACTGAGCGCAAGTATAGGCATGTTTAGGCAACAAACTGTCATTTGCCGAATTGCACTCTGAATGCTAAATGGCGAGCTACTGCCGTGGAAGTGAACAACCACACATTCTGTTGGTCGGGTTAGTGCCGAAGAGACAAGGAAAGAGCTTGAAGAACATAGTGTGTGCGCGTAGCATATTGCTACAATTTTAGTAAAACATTTAAAGAGACATTTAAATGGCATATCCAAGTACGCTGAATGGAGTGTGTGAGTCGCATACAATGCTGTAAGTGATTTACTTGCTTTCAACACGGCAGAACGTCGGTCCGTGACGATCCCAAGCCTGGACGAGCTTTCCCATTAAAAAACCATGACCGTGTCAACATAGGCCGTGCTGTGAGCCATAAGTATCATTGTTTGACTGTTCGAAAAGTTGCTGACGAAATGTTTATTACCCTTTTAGGTATGCTGTGCGCCAGAAGTGGCCTAAACTTTTGGGAAAGTAGACTTGGATTTTGCATCATGACATTGCGCTAGCTCAAACAACGCTAACTGTCCGCAGCTATGTAGCAAAACAGAAAACTCTCATTTTGTCCTATAAACCATTTTCTCCGGAACTGAATTTGCCAAAATTAGCTTAAATAGATTATATTACTTCGGGTAAAACTTCGAAGAGAATTTGTTTGGAAAGACAACTCAATTGAAGACACTTAGAAAGTTTGACCTGTGTTTCTCATACGACCTTCTACAGTTTTCTAGGTTTTCGTTATTGAATTACATAGGCCTTGATTAATACGCCTTTAGCTACTTCTACTATGATCTTATGATCAACAAACTCAAATCAAAAGCATTAAAAACGTTCAGTTACCAAAGGGGGTAACGTGATACTTGCAATAACAAATTACTTGCATTTGCGCAAAATCCTGATGCGTAAGTGATCCGTATCCATGGAGAGTGCGATGAAGCCTTTGCACGTGGATCAGAACGTGCATATGAAATAATGTTTGTATAGAAAATAACCACAAAAAATCGATGACGGTAACAATCCTATCGTTTTTCTCTTAACATATTTATGCATATTTTAAAATTTTGTAGGACGTGTCTTGACACGAAGATGCGCAACTTGTGTAAAATATTACAAAACTTCACCGATATTAATGTTGAGCTTGTACTGGTTTAAGATGTTCTGTGCGATCCAGTTTTCGACTCGGTTACCTTCATTTGGTCATGATAAAAATACTAGCAGCCAATAATTTCGTTAGATAAGAACACAGAAATCACTAAAGGTAGGGCAAAATGAATAACCACTTAGAACAGCAACCGAGTATGGCAGCCTTAAGAAGAATGTTTGAGGAAATAGTGCGTAATATAATGGATTTGACGCTAATTGCTGATTTTTCTAACCGACAAAATAACAACCTAATGCGCAGTAAAGAAACCTTGCTGTCAGGCAAATCATTGTTTAGCTTGTGCATCACTTTGAATAAGTTACTAGCCCGTTGAAACTCGAATGCCTTATATGAGGGAAACATGTTATTCACTTCATTCTTAGTTCACCAAATTCATAAATTCATATCTTATAATTTGGCATAATTCCCAGGGTGAAGAGCGTGCCCGAATGCCATACCTTTAGATGATTGCATGGATAATATCCGGTTGATATACTAGGTTATGAAGAGTAGGCATCTCACCGTCTAAGGACATTCACACAATATAAACAAACATTTCCCGTTACCCCAGGAAACATCTGAAGCAGATGCATCAAATCTGAATAAAGAAACTTCCAGTCATCTACACACTTACTTTTGGAGGCTAAGTGGCGCGCACTGCTCCTATATATGGTAGTTCTGTGGTATGCGTATATTCCGCGTCTTTTCCTTCCAAACATACATCTGAGGTTATTTGCGTTTCTTTTCTTTCGATGAGTTAGTAAGGTCTAATGTTGTTTTATTATTATTTGGATTACGCTATTTCTACAATACCCTCAACTTGAGCATCAGTGCCTGCAGTTGGTCCACCAGAACTTGATTAATTGAGTCTGCTTTCTGGAGTCGCACAGTTTGGTTTCTGTTATTGCGAAGCTAATATCGAATTTTATGACATTTGGATTTAAATTATGGACGTAACTATATAAGCCACAATTAAATAACTTTCAGCCTCATTGTGAGAGTTGGGCTTTAATTCGCACCAATTCTAATTAGACTACGAAACTTTTCAAGTATAACTAGGTATAGCACCTGAGTTGAAATACTGGAGCTACAATGCAGTTGCTGCATATCATTATATTGAAACCAGGTACATTTGCTTCCATGATTTAGAACAACATGAACCTTTGATCTTGTGGCTGGTAGTGCAGGAATTGGCTATAATACAACCACAGTAACCGTTGCAGTTATTCTTGAAAATATGTGGAAATTTACTTGTGATATAAAAATAGCTTAGCAAAATAAGTTGCCTGGAGAAACACTTTTAATAAATTATGCATTTGTCGCTTTGCGGAACACTGTGTTCATATTCACAACTATGCAGCTGTTACACAACCTAAGGAGACGTATAACACGTACAAAACTCTAACCAAACAAGCCGAAGCCAACTAACTGTACCGGTGATATTTAGTAGGCGGTTATATATTGTGCTCCCACCATATCTGGTTTGAATAGTATCTCACAGCTAAGATAATAATACCAATGTTGTTTGCAATGAAATTAAAAGTGTAACTGCTTATACATGTACTTGTGAGTAGATCAATTATTTGGTTGAAAAATACTTAACCACCATTTATCAAATTACACTTGTTGCATCAAGGATACTCTAACATCTCACGTTCCCTTAATTAGGCCGATAGCGGTTTGATGAATTCTATTCTGGGAGTTCAGTAACACTGGTTGCTAACTTTGGTTACTGTAAGTTTACGGAGAGTGTACTCCATTATCCACCGTGTACTTTAAGTTTTCTTAGACGCATTCACCATTGTGGTTACAAACGAGACCAATAGCCTCTGCCAGCTATCGTGCCTTTCCTGAATTTTTGCAAAGTGGGCAATCTAACGTCATTGTAAAGGGCTCCTCGTATCGCGAATACGGACTTCATAAGAAGCACAATAAGTCGCTTTATTATTATTGGTGAGCAAACTGGTCGGAGTAAAGCAATATATGTATCAAAGGATGCATTAGTTTAACATTTATGACTTTAACTTATTCTATGATTGGCAGACTATGAGAGACTAACGTTTTCTTCAAATTCTATCAATAAAGTTTAGTGTGCAAAACTTGTACACATTTTGAGGTTCCTTGCCATTTACTCTGATGTGAAAAACGTTCATTTAAATTAAATTAAGTGCACTTTTTAGGTGTTAGTTTGGGGATGGTAAGTTAAGCAAACGGCTGATTTTCTTCGACTTAGCTAGCAGTAATTACACAGGCAGTTTATTCACATTTCCAAAACCTTTGTAACATATCATATTTTAAATCTACGCCAGTATACGAGTATATCATTATCGCGGGAAGCCTAATCTCTGTGACTCATATAAAACGCTGCTTTGAAGTGATAGAATGCAACAACAAAAGAGTGCAATTTATTCGGTATGTATTATAAAGGCAAATATTTCCGGAAACGTACCTGTGACTGCCAAATTAGCCATAAACATTTGCATTTGATTACGCATTTTTTGAGTGAGCAAAGCTATAAGGACGCTGAAATTTCCAAGTACGACGACGAAGAAAAGCGTGAGTAATATAGCCAATTCGATTCGATTTATCTAGAAATATAATAAATGGATAATTAGTTAAAAATCGTTTATGAAAATTCATGATGCAACGCAGTCTGATCTATAATTATACAAAAAATTTTGCCTGAACAGACCGAAAGTAATTTGTGCATAAACGTTACAGCTTAAGCCATAACCATGCAGGATCAGAATGAAAGGAACAGGTTGAAAATTTTTTTATTGCTTTTTTTCATAATTATTTTGACTGCCTCCATCACGCAAGGTTAGTTTATCAGTACTTTTATTTTACTTTATAGTACATGTTTTACCAGCAGATTAATACTACTTATGCTGCTTAGCATTAAAGTTGCAGCAACTGTTTAACTTCTTCTAACGCTTTCTGAGAATTTCAGCGAAAAATGTTTGGTACATAGGCTGCAAGTATCAAAACATTGAGTGACAAAAGGCGGCAAGAATCATCACTGGCAAACATGATCGGGTATTTATAGTAATTTGGTTATATTTAGACTAGGAAAATTAAAAATTAATTCAGGTATCGGCGTTCCGAATGACTATAAATTCAAGCAAAATGATTAACCGAAATTATTTGAAATTTATCTACCTACATTGCACACATACCTTATTATGAAAACAGACACAACAGATAGTAGAGATTGATGACGAATCAAGTATTAGAGCGTATAAAACCCGGACTCCGCTCACATGCCTGCTTGTTGTTATGGAACACATAAAAATTTTACACGGTTAAGAATGTGTTACTGGTTTTGATATCAGGCTTTTCAATTGAATATAAAGTAGCAGCATTCTGCAAGAGATTTTCAGAATTACCTGAGCGACTATGTTCTAGTCGCAGATCACATACATCGAAATAAACCAGACATCAACTAGATTGTTCTCTCATTTAAAGGAATTCAGAAACTGAATTATCTCCAAAGTTAGAACTAGCATCTCCATATATAAACATGTTTTAGATTAGTTTTTGTTCGCACATGATTAATTTAGGTATTACTTGCTAAGGGAAAGTTGCAAACGAGCGGAAGAGTGCAACAACTGTTTCAAATTCCAAACCTCGATGAAAATACATGAAATGGCTTTTGCAACTCCTATTGGGGCACTCCACACATACAAGGTAACATTCCTGATCTACACTGATTTGTTGTATTGATGTTCCCCGAATTGGATTGGCTAGTGTGAATCCACGTTTTATTTTATAATCGCAACTATCCCATACAGTTACAGTTAAATCCTTACAGAATTCATTACTTTGATGTATTAACAAGCAACAGCGATAAATTTTAGTTGCAGAACTCAATCTTTGTTTTCAAAATTAGTGCACTCCAACAAATGGACTAATCGCTCCACGGCTTTACAGATATAATTTTCCAAGTCACAAATGCCTATAAATTAGCTACAGGCTGTCAGTTTGTAGTTACCAATAAGCATAATATGTCATGCTTAATATACATTAAATACCACAACCAATTTATTGCTTATGATGCATTAACTAGAAGCTTAGACTCTAGATCAACTGAATAAACGCCTGCTTTCATTGAATCGATAGTTTAACTTATTGTTTAGCTCGAACAATGGTGTGGAATGCCCATTGTCTGATAATACTAATTTAAGCATTAGTCGCCGAAGCCGCAACGGAAAAACAACCTTTTATTACTTCCTCCTCCAAGCAGAAGAATCTGTGAAGATCCACTCTATGGAAACGTGGGAATTGCTTATTACTATTAGGAGGCAACCAAACGTGAAAGTATGGAATGAAGCGCAAGCTATGTTTCTTGTATTCAAGTTAAATTTAGATATGTAGAATGTGGGACACGGCAACAGTAGTCTAAAACAAGCTCTTAAATTAATTGAAGTCGCAACTCTTTGATTCTTTTAGTCGTCCAGAAAAATTAGTGCCGTCTTTTTGAATCATTGTACTTTCGTAACTCATTAATAGTAATGCTGGCTTGTAATTTCCGCTCAGCATTTGAAATGGAAAGAAGTCCATGCGAACACCAATATTAGAGTTCTTCGTTAAGTTAGGTACACTTTGGCGGATTGGCGAGGGCATCGGAAACCAAACATTAATGTTTGTCATTAAATACTCAAAACGATGCTGCGGAAAACCATCGATTTAAAGTTAAGTTACCTAAACAACTGAAGCAAATTATGTTTGACACTTGTAAACAGTATTAATGCAGGCTATGAGATAAGCAGACTAAGCTATCTGAAATCAGCTTTATCAGTACACATTTAAATGAATTATATACACCGGATTAGCTAGCAGCGAATGGTTTTAAAATGAAATAAGATGGGAGCCTAATAATATTACAAAGCGGGAAAGCAGCTTAGTTAAAACAAGCAGAAGAAAATTAATATGGGATAATAAATTGCATCAATATTATGTTTTTCTTTAATTTCTTTTAGTATCCCTTTTAGTTTCTACTTCGTGCGCATTTCAGCCAAGTGCTCTAGTATACGTCGACACTGGCTTCCGCAAACAATCTGCCAGTGTTTATAGATCGAGCCACGGATTTAATAGTCAATTCAAATGCAACAGCCTGTTTGTCTAGGTAGCATTTTGTTGGTGCATCTTTTGCGTCATAACTTGTCGATATTCAAACCTATTACGTTTAAACCATGCGTTATATTCAATGCAAGTCAAGAATGCGCTTTTATCACCCGAGACAGATAAACTTTCAGTCTTGGTCCGCATGCTATCAGCATAACAGTATAAGCGATTCAAATGAGACAGAACAAATAACAAAACGAGGCTCAATAAAAAGTAACATAACTAACAGTGTCTAATTTACAGTTCTTTAACATATAAATCTGGCTAAATAGGAAATGCCCGAGTAACCGTGCAGGCGTACTTCCTCTTTCGCTTTTTCGAGTCCATGAGGTGCGTATGTAATTGGGAAATGCAGTGTAAACAGAGTGGCCACTGTCAGTGATTATTTTGGAGCAAGTTTAGTGCAACTATTTTTGCTAATATTGGCTTTGGCATACCATTGTAGCGGGATATGGACCCCAATGACTGGTCAACAATCATGAAATATTTAAACTGTAGGCCTGGAAAAATCACAGGAGAACAATAAGTCCCGCGTGCAAGAATGCATGCAATGGTGAAATTAAGCATCAAAATGTATGGTTCACATGATGATCAAAATTGGGCGACATAAGTCAAAAGTCGTCTGAGTTTGACGAATATTTGATTCATGTGGAGTGATTATAACAGATCCTGACTCAGTGCAACTCAAACTTGTAGTTTCAGTCTGGCCACTTGTTATAAGCAACAAGCTGAGATATATCTGAAGTCGGGGACATTCTGTGACAAGTTGCTGGCAATGCGTTGCTTTATGAAATGAAAAGATAATATCAGTACACTTGGACGCCTTAAGCGTAAAACAGCGGGAGTTTGGCCACGGCACTAATTCGTCTAACCGCATTGCTGGTTAGCTTAGGAGTTTAAGTTTTCTGCTTCGCGCCAATGCTAATGTCGTCCGCGTATTTTAACAGAAGGTTTCTCTTGGGACACGTACAGAGCTAACGTAAGTAGAAAACAAGAATGGTTACAAAATAGCTCCTTGGATGACAATGAATATTTAGGTAGGTAGTGAGGAGATTTTGCCGCCAATTCTGGTTGTCTGAGTACGTTGAGCAAAATAGTCCTCTAGCAATAATACTAGGGAAGGTTTTAGTCATGTAAGCAAACACGCGTGGATTTGCTTTTCGCGACGACAAGATTAAATGCACGAGATAAACCACGGCATCTTGTGTGGATCTTAAACATCTATACGCCGACTGAAATGTATCATCTAAATATGTCTGGGCCATCATTATTTCAACAATGATTTTATCAAAGAATTTCAAAGACACTGCGATGGATGCAATAGGTCAATAGTTACTAGTCCAGTACTTCATAATCAGCCTTATGCTGTCACTGTTGAAACCATGCGCGATATTTATTTGTTTTAAAACAGATTAACGTATAGTTCGGCCAGAGGTTGGGATAACAAATCGGCACACTGCTTCATGACGATGAGAGACAAGATCTCAGGTCCGTATGCCTTGCCTGAGTGCAGCTGGGTTAGCTTCATGTGTAGTGATGCGAGGTGGACAGGAGTCAGGATGTCCGTAGACCATTCAAAAGATGCGCCTGATAAGTCAGGAGACATACCGCTGCTACAATAACAGAATTCATGATTTAAATTCTCCTACATTCACATCAAATTTTGTGCTTTGTCGGGTGACTTTGCTAACTGTTTCACCATCTGTGTTGCTTCACGACAATGTCTTCCAGCATCGTCTAGACGTAGAGAAGATTAAACTAATGAACATCTTCTTTTACACAATCAGAAAAGAACTTCACGAAAGCACTATCTTCAATTTTAGAAGTTCTTTACTAGAGTCTACGAAGGGGCTTTAAATATGTTGCCGAAAAGCGATCAGCACGGAAGAAGACGGTTTCTGTCTGGTAGTAACTATCACAGCAAAATTTCAACTTACTTATCACTTGCTCATAGTATGTCGTTGCATCTTTGTCGAAAACAAACTAAAAGCGCTGGAAGCGACTATTTCTTTAAGCCGCGCCATGTTCGAGGAGCGCGACTTTTACCGTTCCTCTCTACGATCACTGAAGCGACGAGCGATCTTGTAGTCTGTCTTATTATAGATAACAAGTGTTAACTCGATCTTTGATCTCAGTGCTGCCTGATAACAAACAGAAAATCGCTTTAGCTCATTAAGGTACAAAATTCCAGGGTTGCCCATAACCTGGTGGGATCGTTTACATTATTGTTTCGCCCAAGAGCAGTAAGGGATTTGGTGTTAGTTCAAATGAAATCACCAAAATATATACACAGATACTGGTACATTTTCCCAAAAACAACAGCCTTAAAATAATCATAAAATTTGTCTGCTTCTGAGTTGGGATAAATAGA